TTTTTTTTTTTTTTTTTTTTTTTTTTTTTTTGTACCCAGGATCTAACTTGGGTTCTTGCTCTTGCTAGGCAGGTGGCAGAACCACTAAGCCAAATCCCTGGCTCTAAATTTATAATTTCTTGAGACAAAAAAGTATATACACACAAAGCACATCAGAAGGGTTGTTATGGGTCAGGAAAGTGAGTGGATGGAAGGGATGAGGGAGTAAAATATAAATAGATGAAACCAGAGATGGCCTTGTCCTTGGGAATCATGAGCATATTCCACAGCCCAGGGACTGCAGCAGGTTCATTAAGGGAAAGAACAGAACTGGTTGTGTATAGAGAAGGCCAGGGGCCAGCTGCACAGCCGGCTGACTTTCTGCTGACAGCCGTTGAATCCCTCAGGAAGCAGGGGCCTGGCCATTCTGAGGCACCGGCCACATAATCCCCACTGTGAAATAGTGGGAGATGGTTAAAAATAGCCATAAATTGAAATGTCACGATTTAAGAAACACAAATAAAACTAACTTTAGATACCTAGAGAGAGTTGGAAGTATAGAAAGAACAATTAGGAACAATAATATACTCATGAAAAATATGGGCCTGTTAGATCTAAAATTGTCCTAAGCGTCCCTCTCCTGGCATTAACCCTGAGCCCAGAACCTTCCATGGAGGACTGTGCCTGGACCAGTCCCCAGCCATGCAGAGTCAGGCATGGATCAGATGACTGCCTACTTTTTTAAGGCTCTGTTTTCTTGGAAATCCAGAAGTGGTGTGTGTGTATGTGTGTGCAAATGTGCCGTGAGCAGATACTCCTGGCCACAGTTCACCTTGCACACGAGGGCATTCAGATATCCATCTTAGAGTGCCCAAATTCAGCAAATAAAAATACTGTCTAGCTGGGCATGGTGGCACACTCCTGTAATCCCAGCACTCCGGAGGCTGAGGCAGGAGGATCGCTGTGAGTTCGAGACCAGCCTGGGCTACATAGTGAGTTCCAGATCAGTCTCAACTACATAGTGAGACCCTGTCTCAAAAAACAAAATAAAAAAATACCGTCTAGGATGATCACATACAGATGTTTATCAGTACTTCACATAAAAAATTAACATATATACTTTTTAGTAGGTATGTGATATAGACAAATCTATAGGGTCTGACAGGTTCCTAGGCTGTGGGGAAAAAGATGGAGAGTGGCTGCTAATAGATACAGGGTTCTTTCTAGGGCCTGAAAATGAAAATTAGCTATAGGGTACAATCTCCAGGACTCCAATATGCTGTCAACACTGGGCTGCACACTTTATAAGTGTGTTCTGTATTAAGTGCATTGTATCTCATCAAATTGCTTACAAGTGTCCCCAGGGCCTGCTGTGTTGGTGTACATCTTTAATGCCTGCACTCTGGGGGGCTAAGGCAGAAGAATCAAGTCTGAACTTAGTCCCCGCAGTTTAGGGACGCAAGGAGATACTGTCTCAATAAATTTTTAAAAGGGCGTGGGGGTTGCAACTGAGTGCAAAAGCCCTGGGTTCGAGTGCCAGCATCAATAAATGCATGAATGAACTGAGTGTCCCCGGGCATCCTATGTCCTACCTGGCCATGCCTCCTGCCCTTGGGGTCGGGGCCAGATGTGCCTGCAATTGACTGCCAGGGGCCACACAGCCGGGCTTTCTGTTAGTGACAACCAGAGTCACCTGATTCTGTCACCAGCACGCGAAGTGCGTGACCCTCTAAGTCAGGACCCCAGACCCACTCGCGACAAGAAAGGTCGGCGCTCTGGGGTCTTCTGGGCTGACAATCACCCACGACGCCCGCCACCCGACCTTTGGTCGGAAGTTTTCGATCCCAGGGGCCTTTCCTAAGAACACTTCTTCGCCACTCGGAGCTCTGCACGCCACAAGACTGGGTTCGGCTGATGACCTCGGGAACCTAACACAGAACCCACTCGCCGAGCCTCTCCTCCCAGCCCGGTTCCACCGGACATGCACACAGATCGTGTCTCCGTCGCGATCCCGAAGACCCGAGCCTGTTGTTCTGTGATTGGCCAGACGACATCATGTGTCTGGAGGTGGAGGCTCAGGTCCGAGCAGTCCTGGCTACGGCGGCCCGGAATGGGCAGCCCCGGGCCCCGCTGGGGGTTGGGGCCCGTGGGTCCTCTATGCCGCTCGGGCTCCAGCGAGGAGACCCCGCGGGGTGACGGATGAACCTGTAGACTCTCCGGCTGCAAGGCCCAGGCTTAGACGGAAAGCGCAGGCGACCCCAGTCCGTCTCCCTTGTCGCGGGTGGAGGTGTGGGCTGGGGCTGCACACTGGCCGCGTTCAGACGTCCCTTGCCTGCCTGCCGCAGTGGCGCTGGGTGGTGCCAGGCTTTGCGGCTTTCTTCCTAGTAGCCATCCTAACGGAGAGGAAGCAGTCTCCCACTAGGTTTTAATTCGCTTTATCCTGATCGCTAGTGAGCTGAGCACTTTCTTCTTTTGAGCGGAGCAAGGGTCTGGCCCACCTCGCCCCGCCAGGGCCACCAGCACGCTAGGCAAGCGCTCCACCGCGAACCGCGTCCCCAGTTTCAGACAACTTCAAAGTTGGGTCCTTTCAACTCTCCCCTCAACAGTGGCATTTAAAAAATTTTAACATTTATTTATTTATTTATTTATTTTTGTTACCAGGGATCGAACTAGGATCCTTAAGCTTGCAAAGCAGGCGACCCAGCCACTGAGCTAAATCCTGGGCCCCTTAACATTTATTTTTTTTAATTGTCAAAAATTGTATAAATTTATTATGTACATGTTTTGAAATATCTATACGTTGTGGAATGACTAGGTCAAACTACTTAATAGGGACTAGCTCGTATATCATTTTCTATGATGCAAGACACTTAAAAACATTCTTTTGGTACTCTGCAATAATATAATATATTTAAGGTTGTGTCTGCTTTACTTCACTTAACATTATGGTCTCAAGGTGCATCCATGTTCCTACAAATGACTCAAGTTTATCTTTCTTTATGACAGAGTGGTACTCTATTGTGTATAAATACATTTTCTTTACCCGTTTTTCTGTTAATGTATGTATGGTTTCTCTTGTAAGAGAAACCTAAAGTAAAAATAAAGTGCAAAATAAAACACAACTAGAAGTAGGGAGGTAGAGCGTTCTCAAAGAGGAAAGGCATCAAGAGATGGAGAAGAGTTTAGGGAAGGGAGGGAGATGGTATAAAAAAAGGAATTAGGATGTGTTATGTGCATGTACCAACTACATAAACATGTACAGCAAACATTCCAAAAAGTGGGGGAAGGGATCAAGAGATGGGTGGAGGCAAGGGAAAAGGAATTAAGATGTGTTACATACACATACCAACTTCCCACAAGGAAAATTAACATGTACTACACACATGTAGTAATAAAATAGAAAAAAGTTTAAAAACTTTTATACCTTGTCACTCATTAACTATAGTCATACAATAGGCTCTTGACATGTTCATCCTATGGAACCAAAATTTCATGTCCTCTAACCTGTATCTCCCCAGCCCAACTCCCTAAGTGTGTAGTAATCCCCATTCTGCTCTCTACCTCTGAATTTAACCGTTTGAGACTCTGTGTCTGTACCTGTTAATCCTGAGGTCAACATCACTGGATTAAGAGGCATCTAGGACATTGGCACAGCATGCTCCGGGTGTGTCTGGGTGGGTTTTGGAGGTGTGGTCTTGGGTACTGAAATGGAAAGAACAAAGGACAAAGCAGACTGATGGTCTCAAAGCTGGGCAGAGGCCCACAGTCTCAAAGCTGACAGTCTAAGGCTTGCCCCTCCTGCCAAACCCACGAAGGTCACTGTGCCCTGAAGATGAGCTGCTGAGACACAGCTCCCTGCCTCCCTATGTCTTAGAGGTAAACTGTAAAAGCAACATTACCTCCACCTCCCTACCCTGTGCTAGGTTCTTCCGTAAATCCTGCTTGCTCCCCCGCCCTGGCTGGAGACCAGATAAATCTGAGAACAAGTGGAGAACCGGGACTCGGACTCTGGAAGGGGACTTCCGCTGGGCCCGCTAGCTAGCGGATAAACCTGCCTTCCCTTCAGTTCTGAGAGCCACGCTCTTCCTCGGTCTGCCCGCCCTCCCGGGGCCACTTCAGTACTCTATGTGGCTCTTTGGCCATTCCTTTCTGGCTTTGTTGTTTGCCGACTACCATGAACTGAGCACTTTACTCCACTTTGCCCTTCTGCTATGATGTTCCTACGTTGGAGCTGGCCAGCCATGGACTGAATTTCTCCAAACTGAACCAAATTAATCTTCTCTTCCTCTAGGTTGTGGGTGTCAGACACTGTCTCAGCCACAAGAAAGTTAATACAATGCAACATATAAGTGAGGTCATGGACTTTCTGTGTCTGGTTATTTCACTTACTGTGTCCTCCCTGACATCAATGTTGTCACAAACAACAGGACCACCTCCTTTCTCCTCTTGCTCTTTCTTTTCCTCCTCCCCCTCACCCCTTTTTCTTCCTGGTACTGGAAATTGAACCCAAGGTTCTTACAGTGAGTGACATCCCCAGCCCTTTAAGCACTTTTTTTTTTGGTACCAGGGATCAAACTCAGGTCTTTGCGCTTGCGAGGCAGGCGGCACAACCACTGAGCTAAATCCCCAGCCCTAAACATTTTAAAATTTTGATACAGAGCTGTAATCTCAGCACTCAGGAGCCTGAGGCTGGAGGATTGCCTCAAGTTCGAGGCCAGCCTGGGCTACATATCAAGACCCTGTCTCAAAAATTTTTTTCTATTTTAATACAAGGTCTTGTTAAGTCAGTGAATCACTGAGGCTGGCCTTGAATTTGTGTTGATCCTTCTGCCTCAGCCTCCCAGAGTGCTGGGGTGACTGGCAGGTACCACCATGCCCAGCTGGACTTTAAAAAAAACCTGAAATATATATACATGTAATTTTGTGGGGAGTTTGAAGTGTTCTTTTTATCTTACTGAGTTTATTGGAACTTTCTAAGTATACAGTACATTACATTCATGATTGGGATCATGTACCCTTACATAACATATCTTTTATACATATAATCCTAACTTACCTATTCATCTGTTAATGGACACTTAGGTTGATTCCATATCTTGGCTATCATGAATAAAGTAGGGCAGGGGGTATAGTTGAGTGATGATGTACTTATCTTGCATGCATTAGCCCCTAGGTTTGAGCTGCAGCACCCTCTAAAAGAAATGTAATAATTTCACAAATTTCCAGGAGGGCACCTAGCTGAAACGAATGATGAGATGAAAAAGGAATCTTCAAATATCAAGCACTGTGCTAAAAATTCTTGAATAAAATAGCAGAAGTATAGTCTAGTGGAACTACCTCAAATTCTGTGTTGTGAACAATGTTGCCATAGGGATCCAGCTTGGCCTGACTACCGCCTTTGGGTAAAACTGCGGCCCTGTCTGCTAGGTGACCCACATCCCAAACTCTGTCAGACAGATAAAGTCTTTGAGATAGTTGGCTCCACTGTGCCTGGACTATTTCCTAAGTGACCTTAGGCTTGTTAATAGTTTTCAAGGTCAGGTGTGTTCTGGCTGGCTGTGATAGCATATAAGCCCCTTCCTCCTGCTTTGAGGTACAGGTACCCTCTTGTGCTGCCCAAGACACATTTCTGTTTGTAAGTCCCCACTAAATTACACTTCGGGCAGTTTTGGATCTGTGTGTGTCTTTTGTTACATAGCACTTTCCACGGTTGGTTCTCCCTACTCAGATGGGCTTTCCTATTTTACATTTTATCTACCTTTCTGTCTATAAGCCAATTAAAATGTTACACTTGCTAGATATGGTGACACACACCCGTAGTCCCAGGCTAAGCCCTATAATCGGGAGGCTGGGGCAGGAGGATTACTGTGAGGCCAGCCTGGGCTACATAGTGAGTTCAAGGCCAGCCTGAGCTACAGAGCGAGACCCTATCACAAAACAAAAACAAAACAAAACAAAAAATAAAATGTTACATTTGAGGGACTGGGGTGTAGCTCAGTGGTAGAACATTTGCTCAGCATGCTGGAGGGCCTGGGTTCAATTTCCAGCGCAGCAAAAAAAATGCGATGTATGAAAAAGCGTAACTTCTGATTTCTGTCTCTGGATGCAAACGTCAGCTGAAGAGACACTGAGTGCCTCTACCCTGGTCTTGGAACTCTCACCTCCGTGCTCCTGCCAGCAGCATTCCCAACTATGATCCTCACAGGTCTTCCAGGGTACAAAGAGAACACTAGGTCACTTTTGTTTTTCTGGTGGAAGGAAACGCATGCTGGTATGATCTAAGGTGTGAGGGCGGGCAGGGGTCTCACCTTATGCATTAGATTTCCAGGGTTCCATCACCCCAGGGATTCTCGTATCACTGCTTTCAGTTGTTCCCAACTGTGCTCACCGTGACTGGAACGTAGGAAATCAGAGAACCGCTAGCGTCCCCCTGAAGGGTGACTTCTCCTGTGGTCTTGGTCTTCAGAGTACAGCGGAGTCTTGCATTTGCTGCCCCTAATGGCAAAGAAGCACGACAGAGGAAGGAGCAGAGACAGCAGCTGCCGTAGGCTGCTGGAGGACAGCTGACTTCCCACCAGGTGAGTCATTCGCTGAAGGGACACCACGGGGAGGGTTCCCACACAGCTCCAGACGCTCACGTAACTGGAAGGACTGTGTTCGTATCCCGTCTTTCATGACGCGTGTTGGAATCATATTGGAACCAAGTGCAAAGAGTTTTCTGAGCTTAAATCCTTAAACTTTCCAATGAAGATTTTCATATGCTTTTGTGAATTATAAGCTGAGTTAAAATGTGCAAAAGCAGGACCCTCTTTTCTGTTTGCTGCCACACTGAGGGACAGCTCTCTCAGGGCCAGTGCAGTGGGTCCCCTCAGGTCACTCCACAGGGTACCTGGGCAGGAGCCGTTCAGTCCAACCTGAGTGGCCATGCAAGGCTGGGCGGAGGTGGGGGAGCCCCTCAGGGCCAAGGTCAGCTGCTCTGAGTGAGGGTATCCAGGAAGCACACAGTAGTGAGGTGGGGGTGGGAAGAGGCTGGGCGGGGCTCCTCTGAGCCCTTCCGGAAACCGCAGGGTCTGCTGGGACTTGGCCTCCTGCCAGAAGAGGTGGTTGTTTCCTCTACGTGGGCCTGTTGTGCTGTGTCACTACCAAGGATGTTAGTTTTGACAAGCTGGCTTCTGTTCCGCTGACTGGCCTCAGACAACAGCTACTGGAGGGAGAAATGACATGCGTAGGGAGCTGGAGTGGAGGAGACACTGGGCCCTGTGGCAAGGAAACAACCACTCAGCCTTAACCACACATGCCAGGGTTGAAGGGCTGAGTCTGTGCTGTAGTCCAGAGCTGCAAGGACAACTGCTCCCCATTCTGCAGAGCCCCATCCTTGCCCCTGCAGGCCGCCTGAGCTGGCCAGTCACCCTAGCAGGAGGCCGCCTGTGGAAGACCCTCCCCAGGGCACAGCTGCATATGAGGCTCTGGAGGTGGCAGGCTACCTGGTGGGGACAGTGTGAGCCCCCTGCTAATGCGACCAGGGGTGCTGGCTGGGTGAGGACACAGCGTGAGGGTGTCGTCAAGGCCAGGACGGCACCCAGGTGACTGAGGCCCATGGTGGCCAGCCTGAGGAGAAGTAGGTCCCGGGACCCGGGGGAGTCTGGGCAGAGCTGCACAGCCGGGCCTATATTTTCACTTCTGCAGGACCAAGGCCAGAGTGTAGGGGCCAGTGCTCAGTGGAGATGCGATTGGAAGAGAAGCCCTAGAGGTTTAGTGCTCCTCTGTGGGGTCGGGACTTGAACACCGGGCCCGGTGCGTGCTGGCAAGTCTTCTGTTGCGGGGCTACTCTCAACCCTCATTTTTATGACAGACCCGAAAGCCCAGAAAGTCTCAGTGAGAGGAGGGCCTGGCTGGAGCTCCCAAGGACAGGGCATGGGAGTGCAGTCCTCACTGGAAGATGAAGATGAGGCAGTGAGGCTCGGAGGTGTTGTCCGGGTGGTGTCAGGGTCACTCAGAGCAACCAGTGCCCCAGAGGCACTTAGGGTCCATGGCAAATGGGGGGCTCAGAAGGTGACCACGGCCGGCCTTGGGGACAGGAGCCTGCGGCCCTGGAAGGCAGCCTGGGGCTCCAGGCTCCAGTTGGAGGTGATCTTGGCCGGCCCTGGAGCCCAGAGGTGAATGCAGCCTCTTTCCTGCTCCTCCCTCAGCCCCATGCTGGAGCCTGTTCCCTACAAAGATTCCCAGGAGCTTTCCAGCAGCTAAAGAAAATAAAAACAAACCTGGAGGAAGTCCCTGGCAGAGATTCAAACAGCAGAAAGGGACAGGATGGGAGGTCGCAGTGGCCTTTTCTTCCCCAGAGCAGTGCCTTCTGGAGCTTCGGAGCCAAACAAGCTGGAGTCAGTGCCTGTGAGCCCCCACCCTGCTTAGGACATGCCTTACCCTCTGGCTTGGGGCTCACTCTCCTCCTCTTGCCCTCCTTTCTTGATTTTCAGGCAGTGGAGATATACAGGAGAGAATGGAGGAAAAACTTCTTGCCTCTGTCCTGTTGTGCAAAGCTCACCAAGGCAGCATCCTGCAGTTCCCCCTGCCTTTCTCCTTGGTAAGCACTGGCTCGCCATGTTTAAGGGGGCTGTCTCTGCTCTGCACTGTCCTGCCGCCAGGGGGCAGGCAGCCCTTCTCAGAGCTGCAGCCGGGTCGCACTCTGAGGGCGGGCCTGGTTCCGGCTCCTGAGAGACAGAGTCCATAGAGTCCCAGCCCTGGGGGAACCTGCTCAGCCCCTGCACTGCAAGGGGTGTTGCTCTGAGAAACCATCTGGGAACCTGTTCTGGGGGGTAAGGGTAGGCAGGGGCTGGCCCAGGGTTCCAGTGCGAGAAGGGGAGGGAGCTCCATGCAGGTCACAGCCCAGGCTGACGAGCCCCTTGTTCAGATCCTTCCTCAGAGCCTTCGGTCTGCACAGAGCCACTCTGCCTGGCTCAGACATCTGGGAATGAGAGGGTGGCTGGGATGAGATGGGCAGCGCCCAGGGTTCTGGGCACAGGCACAGGCAGACCAGGCAGGGGGAGGGCAAGATGGGCAGGGGGAACAGAGGGTGCCAGGAGCAGCAGGTGCCATGCATGGGAGAGCACAGGGCGGGCTCTCGGGGGAAGGGGAGGCTTTCCAGGCTGGGTGTTGGGGTGGAGGAACAGAAGAATGAGGCCACAGCACACAGTGTGACAGCAGGAAAGGGGCAGCCTGCCTCTGACCTGGTATGGGAGCCGAGAGAGAGGTCCAGGCAGGGGTTCTAGATCCTGGGGCATACAGGACAGTCCACCCTCCTTCCCACATGGCCATGTGTGACAGGCCGGAAGGAAGGTGTGTCGGGACATCGCTGAGGCCCTGGGCCGGGCGTGGCAGTGGCAGGAGTAGTGCTGACTCCCGAGGCTGACCACTGATCTCTGGCCCTGGGGCTGCCCAGCTCAGCAGGGGACAGCCCCTAGGAGGGGAGGCAAGCTCCAGGGCATGGTGTTACAGATGGCCAAGTTAGGCAGAAATACTACAGACAGCCAGACAGGGCTGGGCGCTCCAGGGAGTCAGTGCAGAGCACATCACAACAGTGGCTGGAGGCGCATCTGTTGGAGGCCAGTCTCAAGGGGCCAACACGTCTCCCCGAGGGGTAAGCAATAAATTGACAATTATACTGTAAGTGACATCACCTGGTCCAATAAAGTATAGGTAGAAATCAGTCACCCAGGTGGGAGACCAGGACCTCCTGATCCATCCCTTCCTAAAAGGTCCTAGCTTTTTCCACGCACACTTGCTACATGACCTGCTTCCTCACTGGATCGATGTTACCTTAGCAGCTGTACTTGTAACCTTACTGGTTGATCATAGTTTTGACCCATGTTGTACTCACCTCGTAATTTTGCTCTATTTAACTTCCTTTGAGAAGTGTGCTTCTTTGTTTTTTGGTACCAGGGATCGAACTTGGGACTTGGCGCTTGCAAGGCAGGCAGCAGAACCACTGAATTAAACCCCCGGCCCGAGAAGTGGGCTTGTTGACAACCCGCTTCTGGGTCCACTCCTGTCTCTCAGGAGCTATCTCTCTCAATACATTTTTCTACTCTTAACCTCAGGCATTCCTCAGAATTCATTCTTTGATTTTGGGGAACATAAAGTTGGCGTATCTGACATCTAGCAGGTTGGGAGTGACACTTGCCCACCCCTGCATCAGACAAATGCTGAAGTCCTACCCAGACTCAGCCTGGTTTCCGGTGAGGCCCCACCCCTGGTGCTTAAGGCAGAGGTGGTCTTTGTGTTGCCACGGCTGAGGTGAGCCTGTGGTCTGTGGCCTCTGCTCCATGAGCAGGGACCACCTGGTGCAGCAGACTCAAGATAAAGGTCATTTCCTTCGGTGGGCAAGGTGTGGCCTCACCTTTCTGCTCTGCAGCCCTTTTGGGTGAGAGTGTGGGTTCTCCATCCCCTGCTGTTCCAGTGCAGCTCTCTGCCTCCAGGGGCCCCTCTCTGGGCATTAAATGAATCACCCATGGCCCAAAGTGGGAGGAAAGGGGTGTGGAGCTCCAAACCCTCTACAGCCAGTGTCGAGTCAGTGGGGTGTGCACTGGGTGGCCCGGGTCCCTTTTGTCTTTCATTTCTAGAATGGGTGTCATGGCTTTTTGTTGTTCTGTGCTGAGCTGCCTGGCACAAGTAGGTGCCCACTGAGATGAGGATGACGGCATGGCACCCTAGAATCGAGGTAGATGAAGACAGAAATGGGGCCTCCCCTGACGTCTGACGCACAGCTTGGTGAGCCGAGGGTTTCCAGGGCCTCTCTAAGCAGAAGGGACCTTCTGGAGGCTGATGGCAGACACAGGTGACAGGACAGGTGCCTAGGCGTGCAACCTGAAGGTCGCTGCAACATGGCCAATCCAGGGCTCTTTGGGGATGGAGGCTTTTCCAACTGGGGTCCCAGGTGAGAGAAGGGACCAGGGCCCTGGTGCCTGGGGCTGGTGGCTGCCTGGTCCCTGACCTGGCCCCTGCTGTGTACCCAGGCCCTCTACCAGCTTTCACAGGTCTAGGTGGGCCCACACAATGGCTCTCACATGACCCTCCTGGTCCTCCAGGGGAGCTGTCAGGTCACCCAAGGGTGCACAGAAGCCTAGGGCTCCTGGGTGGGGGCAGCTGCCACTGAGGTGTGCAGTGCGGCCAGGCAGGCCAGGCAAGAGTGACGAAGAGTGACAGGCCGGCGGCTGCCTTGCCTGGACTTGCAAACATGACATTGGGACCTGCACAAGGACAGGAGCTGGAAGCTATCCCCCTGCACCACTCCGCTGCATCTCAAAGCTCACACAAGGAATGCAGTGGCCTGCATCTCAGCCACTTAACCCTGGCTGACGGCATGTGTTCTACTGCTGTTGGAGCCCCGCTCCCTGCTCCCCTCCCTGAATGGGTTTTGGGGGGTCCTGAGGCAGAGATGAGGAGCCCCTGACCCACCTGAGCGAAAGCATCTCCACGGGGTACTGGGGCCCTCCCAGAGGAAGACTCCCCTTCTCAAGTCGCTCATGGGGTGAGGATCAGGTGGCCCTGGCAGACAGGCATCTTTGGACCTTGATGTCCAGGCCTGAAGGGTGAGGTGGCAGCTGGGCCCCAAGCTCAAGGCAATCTGTTAGAAGCTGGAGACTTCTGCAAAACAGAAAGT